GTGGTCCTTACTTCGCAGTCCTAGAGGTCTCCTTCAGCATTAAATTGATTAAGTCCTTATGGAAGGAGGATGCTTTGAAGCCTTGCCATGTCCTCCTGTAGTTCTCTTGCCTGCTCCCTGAGGGACACCACTAGGAAGCACCGCTCACATCACAGGCACTCCTCCACCTGGCTGTCACTGAAAGGAACCTGCAAGCCTCAGCCTACACAGCACCAAACCAGACCTGGGTGGAAGCCTCAATAGTGAGCGGTTCTTCCTGGACAGACACCTGAAAGGTGCAAGAAGAGAAGGAGCTGGCAGTGGCAATGGCTCTGGCATTGTAACATCCTCCAGCCATTTCTCTGGGTCTTTTAATACGCTGCCTCCCTCTTGCTGCCCCTCTTCCAAGCAGACCTTCCTTAGCAGATTCCCCTGTAAGCTGGCCTGTTTGCTGCTCCTTCGTCCCAAAAGGTTCCTTTTTCTCTGCTTCCTCTTACCAAACTTACAGTAAAGGAAGGTGAGAGTTTCCAAGCAAACTCCCCAGCATACTCACCCTTTCTCAGGACTCTAGTTAAGCAAGGGGTTTAAGTATTGGTCTGACTCCTCAGTTTTGGTTACTTATGCTAAATATATGTAGGTTAGCTATTTTTAATTAAAAGAAAGAGCTTACCTTAAAGGCTCCCCTTCAAAGATAGAGGCGGCAAACTGACCTGTGAACTGAGTTGCAGACTGCCCTGTTTGCTGTCCCTGTTTGCTTGCCTCTCCTCAGTAGTTGTGTGCCCCAGCCCCTAACCATTTTTTTTGCCCTCCACCAGACTCTCTCCAGTTTGTCCACATCCTTTCTGTAGTGAGGGGCCCAAAACTAGACAGTACTCCAGATGTGGCCTCACAATGCCAAATAGAGAGGAATAATCACTTCCCTTGATCTGCTGGCAACACTCCTACTAACGCAGATCAGTATGTGTTAGCTTTTTTTGCAACAAGGGCACACTGTTAGCTCATATTCAGGTTATTGTCCTTTCCTGAAGAGCTGCTGCCTTGCTAGTCAGTCCCCATTCTGTACTGGTGCATGGGATTGCACCAATAGCAGCAGCCACGTCCTAAGAGATAACAAATATCTGAATTAGAGCAAGAGGTCTACTTAAATGTTTCAAGGTAAAACAACTACACTTAATTTTACGTATGGGGCATTTCCTACTGCAGCTAATCCACTTATTCCCATTGCCCATAGCTCAGTTTTGGAAATATAACCTATTTCCAGGCTTTCACAACTATTATTTTTGGCAGGTAGTACCACCCATGCAGCCATCTTCCTTTAAATTTATCCACATCACACATTAGTAATAAGGCCCTAAAATGAATAAAGCTAGATGTTTAGGAATAGAAGATTCTAAATCAACTGAGTATTTTATATACTTCAGTCCAAAACGCTCAGAGCTGGGGACATTCCCAAAGTATATGAACTACTTAGTTCAAGGGATCACATAAACTGCATCTTTGACTTTTTAGTTTATGCCAGGGATCCTGGCTTTTTTCTGATTTAAAAACCCCATGATCCATGTTTAATCACGATTAAAATGAAACGTGTGTGTGTGTGTGTGTGTGTGTGTATGCACATTAAGGCTGTGCAAGGCTTTGGGTGGTGATTCGATGGCCAAATCTCTGAATCAAAATCAAATTGGGAGTCCAATAAAAAGATCCATGTCAATTCGAAGCTCTCTGAATCGATTTGGAAAAGATTCAGAGAGCTTCGGAGATTTGGGCAGTCCCCACTCGCCATCGCAGGGAGCTGGATCCGGACTCCGTGCCGGTAAGTAGGGGGCAGGCGAGGGGGTGCTGAGGGAAGGAGGAAGGGGACAACAGGGGGACCCCTGCCAGGCTCCATCCCCTGCCTGCTCCCCCAGCCCACCTGAGCACCCCCTGACCACTCGATTTGGTGGCAGCCGAAACTCTGAATCAGATTTGGCCGAATCAGTTCGAGACAATAATTCAAATCACTGAATCAAATCAGTCTCCCAAACTGGCTGAATGCGAATGTGAAGTGAACACTAGCCACTTCGCACAGGCTTAATACGTACACACACATTAGGCCTGTGCAAAGCATCTAGTATTCGCTTCGGATTCGGCCAAATCAGGGGACAGTGATTCGACTCGGTGATTTGAATCACTGTCCTGAATTCAGCCAAATAAGTGGAGCACAATGCTTTAATCATTTTAATGATTGTTTAGCAATTTAGAAGCCTACCAGTCTCAATCATTATAATAAAATAGATTCTAAATTCCTGTATATTTTGGCATTTGATTTTGTGGGGTTTTTTTATCAGGGAAAATCAGAGCTCCCTCTGCCCACTTTGCTCAGCAAGACACGAGTCCAGCTGCAGCTGTGCTACATGCTGCTTTATGGAGTTGAACAGCCCTTTTATACCAGTGCTCTGTCCCTGTCCATGTCATTGCCCCTCACTACCAAGCCACAGCCCCCTGGCCCTGCCACTGCCCCTCACTCCTAACCTGCATCACCCTGCCTCTTCAGCCCTGTCAGTGCCCCTCTTGGAGGCCATGCTCATTTCTTCACCCACTCCAGCCCTGCCTATGCTGAGAATGGAAGAAAATTTGGCAGAAGCCGTGCCTTAGCAAGGGCAGGGTCTGCATCGCCTGGCCACCTTGAAGGAGCACATGGGCAGCAACGTTATTCATCACTGCCCTCCCACCCACCACTCACCAACACAAATGGTGCTTTACTTTCAGTTTGGCGTGCCCCCACACTGAGCTCAGCACACGGCCAGAAGAGAGCATTAGTTGGAACTGGCTCACCCAGCATCTGTATAGATCAGATGCTTCAGTGGGTTTTTGGGTGCTTTTATCTAATATTTGATTGAATCAGCTATTAGATAAAAGTGCCGAAAAGCCCTGCTGAAGTGCCTGATCTATACGGATGCTCTGGAGCTGGGTCTAACTAATGAGCTGCTTCTTCCTGTAAGGCACCCTTTTTTTCCACATCTATGAGTAGTGCAATCAAAAAATAAATAATAAGGAAAGGGGGAAGGGTGGTACAAATCAGGCTGGCAGGATGGGAGAGCCTGGTGGCTGAAGGAATTAGGGAGAGCATTTGCTGGGTACACGTGTGCATGGGCCCAGGGGTCAGCCTGCCAAAGCTGAGCCCAAGTCCCTGGACTGCGAGCAGAGGGATCAAGCACGGTACCTTGGAAGAGGAAGGCTTGTCACTCTCCCACCTGCTGCAGAGCTACAAAGAACCCATTGTCCCTTCCATGCCCACATCTGGCAAGTCACAGCCCCTTGTCCCACCCAGGAGCTGTTGCCCTATGTCCCCCTTCCTCCATACCTGCCTGCCACTGGCTCTCTGTGCTAACCTGCTGGCAGGCACAGGCAGAGTTAGAGGGTACCAAAGCAGCAGATGGGCGGCATGGCACAGGGTGGCTCAATTCATAGTCCCCAGCTACAAGGAGGGAAAGCTCCATGCGTGCTATCTCTCTCCCGCTCCAGTCACATGTGCCCTCTACCTCCAGTCTTCCTCCTCCTGCTCCCTCCAGCCCCAAGAAGCTCCCTGCAGGCTGCAATGTTCCATTTCCACAGCAAATGGAAAACCTGGATCCCTGTTTACGACATATAAGTGACATCTTGAAACACAATGAGAACTCTGTAAGGTAGAGTTTTTGTGTTTCATGCATAGTGTATTTTATGGTGTACGAGTGGAGTTTTAAAGCCCAATTTTTAACTTTTAAAATTCAACCTCAACTTATACTCCATATTATTGTCCCCTATGAGCAGCACCAGGCTTGGCACTTGGCTGGTGCAGCCCAGGCAGCACCACTGACAGGGGCAGGGAGTGTGCCAGCCAAGCACAGAGCTCAGTGCCTCTTGCAGGTGACAGGAATGGGGACTGGGCCAGGCTCGGTAATCAGCTGGCATGGCCCTATCCCCTGCAAGTGGTGCTGCATGGGTTTCGCCAGCCAAGTGCCAAACCTGGGGATGGGGCCATGCCAGCTGAGGGCTGAGTCTGGCCCTGTCTACTGCGAGCTGCACCAGCCTCAGTGCTTGACTGGCGCAGCCCAGGCAGTGCCACTTGCAAGGAATGGGGCCATGCCAGCAGAGCTCTGAGCCTGGCCCTGTCTACTGCTGATCCTGGCCATGCCAGCTAAGCACCAAGCCTGGCATCACTCTCAGGGAATGGGGCCAAGCTCAGCGCTTCGCTAGCATGGCCCAGGCAGCACCACTTGCAGGGAATGGTGTTGCACCAGCCAGGCACTGAGTCTGACCCTGTCCCCAATCTCTGCAAGCAGTGCTGGGCTCGGCACTCAACTGGTGCATGCACCCCCATCCCGTGCAAGTGGTGTTGTTGGGGCTGCACCAGCTGAGCACCAAGCCTGGCCCTGTCTACTGTGAGGGGCACTGCCATGCACCGAGCCCATCCCCATCCCCTGTGAGCAGCGCTGGGCTCAGCACTTGGCTGACATGGCTCAGTCAGTGTTTGCTCACAGGGGATGGGGCCGTGTCAGCTGAGCTACAAGCCTGGCCCCATCTGCTATGAAGCACTGAGCTCAGCCATGCCCAGAATAAATGGAGACTTTTTACCATCTTGTAGCATCTACACTTTTCCCAGAGCCTGACAAAGGGACTTTGATTCCAAAAGCTTGAAGAAAAGGACAGTTTTCTTACCATTTTCCAGTTGGTCTAATAAAAGGTATCATTTTGGAGCCAAGAGTTCTAGTTTTGTATATGTCTTTTTGTCTCAGACCAACACAGCTACCAAGTACATCTCTGTAAATAACTATTTTTTATCCACTAAGATGAAGTTCAAAGTGACACATTGAAAGCAAGGTCAAATAATATTTTAACTTAAATGACTAGAAGTAACACGGCCTCCACTTATGGATGCAAAATTCTCTTTCTTTCATCTGACAATTCTTGTTCAGTAATTTTGAAATTCTAAAGTAGACAGTCTATATCTGTTTTGCATATTTGCGTCAAAATGTAAAGTAACTGGTCTTTTCTGGATATTGCAGATTCCTTGTAGCCTGGAGTACTGGGATGATCTCCAGAAATCATTTGTTGCATTCCGAGAATTCAGTCTATCAGAAAGCAAAGTTTGTGAACTACAGCTGCCTAGTATCAACCTTGTGAATGATCAGAAAGAGCTTGTAGCTTCAGACCTTTGGAGGATTATCCTGAACAGCAGCCAGAACACAGCTGATGACCAAAGGTAATTTTTTTAAATAAAAAAAAAACTAAGCCTGCTTTTTGGGCAGACCTTGTTCAAGTGACTCAGGGACCTGGATATTTTTCCATATGTGCTAGGAGTAATAGCTCATAACTGAGCTTCACCTTGTGATTAAGACTCTGACAGATCCATAGGGTGGGAGTCAAAAGAGCTGCTTTTCAGATTCATTAGAGGCTGCCAACAAAGCAATCTTTAACACAAGGATTAGTAAGAGAGGCAGCCAGGCTGTGGCCCAACACTACCCACCTGTACCAGGTAGCTAAGCTGGGTAGCCAAGAAGGAGGGGAGGATGTGCCACTATCTATTGTGTAGTAGCAGACATTATTTTCCCATGCATTGCATAGCTACTGCCTAGGTTCTCCACCTTTGTAATAACCTCACTGCAAGCTAGTGCCTGAAAGGCACAATTAAGTTGTATGTGCATGCTTAAATAATTACATTAATCATATTCACACTACTTCATGATGTTCACTACCTAGTATTCGCAGTACTTGCAATGCAAACATCATTAGGGTTTTCAAATGATATGAAATTATTAAAGTTTTCATTGAGTTCATTGTAAACAGCTTTGTGAATAGTTAACCCTGCAAAAAAACCCAAAAACCATGAGCTTATGAATAACAGGCAGTGAGAAGAAACTGTTAGAGGGGTTTTTTAATTCATCTGAAATTCACAAGCAATGTTGCAGAATAGTGCCAGACTCCTTCATGCCTTTATCAATAGTTGCATCACATGGATCAGGAGACTACCTATTTTATCCAAACACGTTTGCTAGTTGTTATTGCTCTGTGTCTATGCATCTGTGTGTAGTCATGTGCTGTGTAATCCTGTACATGTGTGTGTGTGCAAGAATTCAGGAGGAGTCAGGAAATAAGAAGATGGATAACAAAATCAATAAAAAAAAATTAAACATCTGGTTTCCATTAATAGTATCAGGTTAGAAATGATTTCTTGATGTTAATTGTGAAGGAATGCATTTTCATCATTGAGAAGTTAAGTGTTTTAGACAAGGTTAATTCCTCTGAATGTGGAAACTTCGCAAAATTACCTTAGTGGTCAGCTTAGCACCATAGAAATGTGAACTCTGTGGGAATTAGAAATGAAGCTAGTGAAATTCAGTAGATTTTTTTTTCATCAAAGCATTTGACATTGCAGTCATAGCTATTGTTTTCTACTCAGATGGGATTTATCATTGTACCTGATATTTCACACAGGGCATTCTAGTAGAAAGGTTTGTAAGCAACAGCGATTAGAAATGACGGTAGAGTTTAAATGAAGTACAAATAACTTTAAAACTAAAAGAGTAAGTCAGTTTAAAATGGAGGACTGTGATTAGCATCAGAACCATATTTTGTATCGTAACGTAAATTAATGTATGTAAAATATATTATACCATAGGTTTTTAATTTGGGACTTGGAACACCCAATAGAAGGTCTCAAATAGTCCCAATGTGGAATGATGAACACTTTCCCTTTCTTTTATAGCTTAGCTACCTTTGGACAGCAAACCAAAAACTTTAATGCTGTAACATAGGGTCACAATATGACAGGGCTTGAGAGCCACTGTATTAAATAAACAGACCTGTAGAAAACTTAAGTGATATAGTGAAATGAAACTTCATTTACCAGCCACTTTCCATAAATTTATGTGCATACAATAAATAAAATGAGCCTCCTTATAGAATAGCACAATAACTTCAAGTTTAACGCAAGGTCCTGTCACACTAGGAGAACTAGACTCAGGAGCCATGCTTGAGACTCTACAAAAGACAGTGTAAATGAAACCAGTTTAGATTCTCAAGGTTTAGCTGAGGCAATATGGAGAAAAAGTGTGATACAAAATGAATAACTGGAATAGAGGATGTCTTCTGATACAGTCTTTTACTGTACCAGGGAGAGCAAGGCACACACTCCATGCACATAGTTTCCAAAAATGGGGCAAAGCAAGCTTATTGGGGTGCACTACATATCACCCTGAAGTAGTTACATTACATCCATTTTTAGAGGTAGTGCACATGGTATACCTGTTTACAACATTCTCTTAGAGCTGGGTGGGCAAAATGCAGCCCGCGGGTCAGATACGGCTCGCCAGGCCATTCTGTCCAGCCTGTGGGGCCACTAAAAAATGTAGACAATTAATATTTATCTGCCCCTGGCTGCCTATCATGCGGCCCTCGATGGCTTGCCAAAACTCAGTAAGCGGCCCTCCGCCCAAAATAATTGCCTACCCCTGTCTTAGAGCTACATTTAGACTAAATAATATTTGAAAGTGCTATAGCAACCTTCTCTATTAAACATCAGAACTGATGGGGGCAAAAACTGAGAGGACGTATTCCTGCATGTCTGTTTATTCTACTCTAACCTGTATGATCAAAAAGGAAATAGGAAAAAGAAAATAAATACCAAAAATTACATTTATGTGACTATAATTGCTTAGTATTTACATGGCCATTATATAGGATGTGAGGAATTTGTGTTTTATTTTTATAAAGGGCCTATATGACTCAGTTCACCCACTCTGTATTGTAAAGTACGAATAGAGTTACCTCAGTGATACAGCAATGAAATTAACTTTAAAAGCTGTCAGCTGAGAGAGAAAAAACTTATGAAAACAAAGAACTAAGATGTCAGGAAGGTAATAAGGAAACGAGATCGAATCCTGGATGCTTAGGGTCAGACAGGTTGATATTGGATGTGTATAAACCTTGCTCTTTATGCTAACCCAGGGACCCTAAAACACCATTTTCTGGCTGAGTGATAAAAGCAGTCTTGTTTTGAAAAGACTCTTAGATTGCTGCAGTCATCCACTCCAAAGAGCCAAAAACCTACACAAGAGATCAGAGTCTTTTGGACTTGAGGAAAGAAACTCAGGGAGGAAAGAGTGGTGCCTGAAGCCTAGGTCCAGATTTGGAGCAGTGGAGCCACAAGTCTCCCCCTTAGAAAGTAGAGACCTAGAGCTGAGCAAAAAAGCGATAGAGCCATAGTAGCTGGTGGCAAGGCTGGGATACTGTCTACAGTAGCATTATTTTGCAAAAAGTGACCATTTAGTCTGAGGAAACACCAAGGGGAAATTGATCTATGTGTTTTTTAGGAAAAGGAGGCAAAGATGGACAAGGAGAATGGCTTAGTATCAATTCCCTAAGAGACCAATTATAAGCCTATGCTGGGGTGGGGGACTAAACTTTTAAAAGACAAATGATCGCCCCTTAAGTATGATTAAGTCAAGAGGCAGGGTCCTGACTTACATACGGTTGCTGGTGAGCAGTTAAGTTTGCTGGTATTAGTCAGGGAAGAAGGAGTTCTAGATAATGCAGAAGTTCCAGGAAAGGCCAAGAAGCACCACTGCAGAGTCCTGTGCAGCGAGAGCAGTAGAAGACAGTGGTCCAGAGACCAGCTCAAGAAATAGATGCCAGCCACTGCTGCTGAAAGCACAAAGAATTCAAGTGAAAGAACATAAGCTGGAGCTGCCTGATCAGGGCAAAAGAGTGCATTAGCTGGAAATCAAGAAGCTGTGGAGCAAGAAGCCCTAAAGATCAGTAAGCAAGGAGAGTCGCACAATATGTGGACAAAAAATGAGGAGGTTAATTAGTAGAAGAGGATATTGATGCCCTAGCTCACCTCATAACTTTTGAGAGAGCTTGTGATCTCAATCAGGCCCCTCCACTGATTCATTCCCTTAACCAGCCTGAAGCTATAGAGGCATATAATGAAATGGATGAAACTGATTTAAGGAATTATAGACAATTAAGAAACATGTTACTGCCTTAGTAACATTTGAACCGACATCCAAAGTTTACAGGAAAAAGCCTTGGAGCATGCAAAAGAATTGGGGGGGTCATGTACATGAAGGTTGCAAAAGAGGGCAGATATATGGAAGGCAATCCCCTGAGTATTTTTTATGTCCTAGTAGATTTAGAATACTTTCATGAGGTGTGCACTTAAAATATGGATAGAAGACTAGAAACCTAAGAATTTACATGGGACACCTTATCAGGGGTAGATGAATTTAGAGAGAACAGCTCAGTTCTGAGGAGAAAAGTGACTGACTAAAGTCAAGGCAAAACAGTCAAGTAGAGAAAGTCACATAAGGATTCCCTAGAGGTAGGATTATGAAAAACCTAAACTAGAAATGATATTTAACTCAGGATCCCAGAGACCAAATGTACTATGTCTGTAAATATAAGTGGGCAGCTGCCTGATACTTAGTTCCCTGGGTGTTTGTTCAGGGCCTATAAATGGTTACTTTTCCTTCATACAGATATTCATTTCTACAAGAATACATTTTGTCTGGTAGAAAAATAGCTCAGGAGCTGGACATATGTTTCTCCATCCCCGTGGCTAGAGAGCTGCACAAGTAAGCTCTCAAATCAGGGGGTGCTAGAAGACTATCCCCTGGAACAGCTTCATCCTTAGGAGAGCCCATTAATTGACAACCTGCTTTCTCCTCTGTCTGGGAAGGGGATAGGTTGTCAAGTGGCCATTGACAGCGGTAGCTGCAATAGAAATCCAGGAAGGTCCCTGCCCTGGGAGAATGCCCCCGCTTCCCTTCCCCACATCCTGCCAGTTAACTGATTGGCAGGAGGGGGACATTTTCCCCCTGGTATGCACCTTCCTGGCTGCTGCTTCCTTCACGTCTCAATCTGTGGGACAGGTGGAGCAGCTGTTCCCGAACACCTTCTCAAGACCAGAGTGACGCGTCTTAGAAAGACAGGGAGCTTTTCCCCAGGAGGAGCCTGGCCCCAGGCAGAGTTAAGATGAGGGAAACTGTATAAACTTTCAGTCTCCCAAGGGAAACTCTCCCAGAAGTGATTTAACCCTGTTTTTTACCAGGTTATTTTTCTTCTGGAGTGGCCATTTTTGCTCTTGGAGAACAAGCCTGAACATCTATACAGTTTTGATTTTTACTGTGAGAATGGTGATTCTCCAGGTAGAAAATGAACATCTCTACCTGGTCTTAGTGGAAAGCCAAATGGAGGGAATAA